GTAATAAATGTGAAAAAGTGGGAAAATCACTGCCCAAGTGGTGTACAGGCAAATAAAAAATGGCCTTTTTTTGAGGCACCCAAACGGCCATTCGAGCAAAACAATTAAGTGGTAAATAAAATAATACTGAAAATACAACAAAAATGTCTTTGGAAAGCATTTTTGAGGATACAGTACAGGAAATTTTTCTCTTCAAAAAAATAAACATACTTTTGTTTTTTAGGATACCAGTGTATCGCTATCAAACTTTGAATATCATTAAAACTGATAGCTGAAATATCAATGGATGTAACCTGAAAACTGAGCTCAAACATTTTATGCACTACCAAAATGTATTGATTAATGAAAACAGATTTTTACATTCTTCAGATGAGACTATATGCACAAAAGGATATATTAATTGGTTTAAATCAGTGCTGCTATTTATCTGATATAAATACTTCGTTAGAATATAAACAGAATATGTGAAAAATTAAGTTTAATTTTACTCATTTCCTTTTACCTATTACTTTCATTATTTTAGACTGCTGATCAACTGGCAAATACTGCTAAACAACATGAATAACAGAATTTTTAACTTTACATTGCAAACATATAAAAAAGTGTTACAAAGATGTTAGATAGGAATAGTATTACTTACAATTTTACCTAGTTAATATATTTTCACTTGATTTGTGGATGATCTGCAAAACATTTTATTTATAAGATAATGCAGTATGTACCATATTCTAAATGTTGGCTGAAACCTATTTCTTCCTTCGTTAGCTCAAACTCCCTGCCCCCCCCCTCTAATTCATATGTTTTATTTGAATTTTATGTGTACATATTTAATATAATATTTAGCTTCTATTAAAAATAATTTACTAATGCATAAATCTTACCATCAAATGAGAAGAATTACAACAGCTCTAATATTAATTTCAAATGATCATACTGAAAAATTTATGATTGAATAAATGTATGCAATTAAAATACAATAAATGCAGAAATTTTCTTAAAAAAAAAAAAAAAAAATTCAAAACTAGCTTTCATGCAAATCAAGTAATTTTATAGTTATTAAATAGTAAAAAAAATTAATATAATATAGTGAAATGTTATAATTCATTTCAGTCACTGATACCTAAAATATAGTATAATCAATATGCATTTAAATTGGAATTATTTTCCACTGCATTAAAATATCTACTATCAAATTTAAAAAACATATTTATAGTTCAGAATACTAAGTAAAATAAATTCCCCCCTTCTGCCTACACAACCCTAAAATGCTTTCTGGAATTGGGGGGGGGGGAATTAAATTTGAAGCTTCATATGAAGTTAAACAAATATCTACACTAGATTTAAACAATTCAGATCAAATAAATTTTAATAAAACATATGGTGAAAATTACTAGGGGTTGGGGAATGACATTTGACATACTTAGGTTTCACTAATTCAATAAATTTCATTTACTGCTGAAAACCCTTTTTTTAAAGATTAAAAATAAAAAAAATAAAAAATTAAGGCTATGGTAATCTTCCTAGAGACCCGGAAATGTGGTATAAAAAAATTGTGACAGTTGGCAGCTATTCAAAAAATAATTTAAAACACATAATTTGGAAAATACATCTGAAAATTCAGAAAATATTAAGATAAATTACAATAGTGTTACAGTGCATGTATTATAGTTCCCACAAGCCCACTGAACGAAACTGCATGTGATAAAAAGGCACCCCCCCCCAAAAAAAAAACTGATGATGAACACCACGACTTCCTTATAAGGAATATTAAATTATATGCAGTTTTTCCTGCATTTCGTTTAAACTTATTGAATTGAATTAAATCTACCTTGTTGACATTGCATCAACCACAATAGAATAAATGTGTTTTTAAATGGGTTTTGCTTATTCAAAAAGTTTTGGTTTAAATTTTTTGCTGCATTTATAAGACTATTTGAAATTTATTAATTAGGAATTTCAATTTTTGGTCTTTGTGAAAAATTAGTTCTAAATTTCTTACTTTATATATATACTTTTGGCGCAGCCATTTGCAACCAAAAAGGGAGGTGCACATCTACATGTTTATAGCAGTCCCACATACAAAATTTCAACGTTCTGAGGCTACTCTTTTTCAGTTATGTAAGATACATACGTACGTACGTACAGACACTATGGAAAAATCTCTTCTGAATCCATTTTAAATCAGTTTTGTAATTTATTTCGGGGGAAAAAAAAAAAAAAAAGAGTCCTTTATTCTGACCTTACATACAGACGTCAGGGGTCAAAATGGATATTTTTGTTGAACTATGGTACCCGGAATTCTTTACTTCATACAAGGAAGTAAAAAAAAAAAAAAACTGTGATAATTGTCCATGCAACAAACACCCACAGCAATTTTTCGAATTCCAAGTTTTCTAAAGAAAAGTTAGTCTTTTCTCTAACAATTTTAAAATTATTTTCGTCACCTTCCTTTCTTTACAAGTTGAAACAAGACAATATTTAGAAAAGTGTTATACAGTCAAAAGTCGTTAAGTCAGACAACCATAATCTGGAATGATCTATAATCCAGACCTCAAAGCTAAAAACTTTCTGCGCATTAGCCGCGTTGACACATGCGCATAGGCGTTTACGCATGCGCGTAAGACCTTTACGACTCCGCATATGCGTGTGCGCTCCTAGCAGAATACGTTTTCGCATGCATGTTTTATGTATAACGGAGGGTATAAGCTAAAATTATCTAATTATCTCAGTTAATGTTGATGATTGCGTTGTTCCTTAATCTTCGAATTGGATCCCGCTTATTATTTTTTGTAGACTGTAAGAGCAATTTTATAAAAGTAAACTTGAACTTTCGATTATGTCAAATAGAATTTCCGATGCTAGAGCTCCCAAAGGATCTACAAAACGAAAGTATGTTTCGATGACCATCAAACAAAAAGTGGAATTGCTGCAAAAAATGGATAAAGACTTGAAGAAGGTGACAGAGAGATTAACCCTTTGATGGTTATGAACGAGTTCAGCTCGCAATCGAATCGTGCTTCATAATGCGCGCAAACGAGTTCTGCTCGGGAGCAAGATTTTGACCGAAATGGTTAGTAACGAGCACTACTCGCGTAGTGAAATTTTTCCCCAATGCGTGCTGACTTCGTTCGCCATTATTATTCTGCACTGATTGTGTTTCAAACGAATGCTACTCACGAAATTTAGTTAGTTTTACTGTCTACAGATGGCAGTACGAGTTCCATGAATTTCTTTGCATAATGAAGGTGGATTTTTTTTTTTTTTTTTACCTTGTTCATTTTATACGTATTTTGGCGCGGTTTTTAGGGTGTTTGTACAGTAAAATGGCTCAAAAGCGAAAGTTAGATAGGTATGATGATGATTATGATTGTGATACAGAAAGCTTATCAAGTTTTGAATCTGATGAAGACTTTGTTCACAGTATTTCAAGCTCAGAACACGATTCAAGCGATGAGGAAGATTTTTCGAGTGTTCGTCAGTGGTGTATAATTGATTCAAGTTCTCACGCTCCTAGCCGATTTAGTTTTACTGGTGATGTAGGCATGAAAGCTTGCGTGACAAATATTTCTGAAATTCTCTATTAGAAAGAACCTACTAGACGATGTGTGGTATGTTGCAGCAAAAATGATGCTAATGGAAAAAGAATTCGCCGTGAAACACGTACGTATTGCAAAGACTGTAATGCCCCATTATGTGCAATTCCATGTTTTAAAGTATATCACACATAAAAAGATTTTTAGGTAATTACTGTATTTATACTGTGCTTCATAAAGTTTTACATTAGTTGTATTTATTTAGTCCTTTCAATTTAATATTTGTCTTATATTTATAATTAACTATTATTATCTATATAATTGGTTATAATCATTTATAATTTACTGTTTACTAATTATTTTAAAGTACGTAAAAACTGTTATTTATGTACTACAAATACTTTAAGAAATTTTTAAAATGCGCGAGGCGAGCTATCTATGGCATCGCCAGAGAAAGGTGACATTTTCGGAAGAACGGCGGGGGAAAACAGCTGCCACTCTCGACTATTGTTTACTCCTAATGCTGCGCGAATTAAGTAAACGGAAACTGCTCATTTCCATAACCATCAAAGGGTTAGTGGAAACGAAAATATTTCGATTGACAAGTTAGTCGGTATTCTCAGCACAGCAATTACAGGACTTCAGCGAAATTTTGTAACTGAACAAGAAATTATGTCTGTTTATAGAATTAAAGAGAAAGTATTATCACATAAAACGAAGCAACTTAAACAACTTACATTGAAAGAAATGTTTAATAAAGTAAACAAATAAATATTAAGCTTTTTTTTTTTTTTTTTTTTTTTTTTTTTTTTTTTTTGTAACTTTTGATACCCTATAGATCATAATTGTTCTTTATTTCATAAATTACGGTTTCACATTTTTAATTTTAGAATTTCTGCATGCCATCTTACGAGATTTAAACTGATGATCTATAATCCGGAAAAATCGATAATCTGAAATCGTCGAAGTCCCGACGAGTCCGGATTAACGGCTTTTGACTGTATATGTTTTTAATTATATTAATTTTATTTTGATTGACTCTCTTTTCTACATACATATAAGGTTTTAATTAAGCGGGAGCCAAAAATAAAATGTATTCCTTTACTTTAATTTATTGTTCAATTATGTTATTAATTTACTTTTATCTTTTTTTCGTGAATCTGCTATATAACTGAAACAAAATGCAAAAAAATATTAATTTCAATGTAGCATATACATCGGTATGGGCTTTTATCAATGTGTGCTTTCAGCGGTGTGGGTATTTGTCACATGGGCAATTATCACAGTGTTTTTTTTTTAGCCCAAAGGGCTATTAATTTTGTTTTGGCATTTTGCATTGAATCACTATAAACGGCATATCACTTTTCAAATTGTTGCCACCAAATATTATCACCAGTATTATATTTTTAAATAATGAAGAATCTGCATAAATGTATTTTTCTGGCATCGTGATAAAACAGCGCCATCCAATTTTGAATTACGTAATCCTCCACCTGAATATGGGCATCTGGAAGCCCAAATTTGGAATTTGTTTTATTATCTGTTTCATATTTTGTAAAACGTTTAGGAACTTTTGATTAACAAACTAAACGGCTTCAAGGTGCAACAATGTATGGAGGGTGGGGGCAATTTTTATCTTCAGTGTGTGAGACTCTGTATTGGAAATTCTGAAGATATGCTCTTTTTAAATAATTTTGTAATACTGCTGTTGAATTGATTTTTATGGCTTAAGAGCGATTTGGGTTTTCTGTCGTATGCACTTTCATCCAATGGGCTTTTGTCCGGTCATCAAGTATTGCATGGGAAAACATCTTATATAAAAACTCTGTGCCTAAAAAATAGATGTCAATCATTACATATTACAATTCAATACAAATTCATACATAATACTGCTTAACTGTATTCGGACTGCATACAGATGAAAAATTGATGTAATACAACCATTTCCATAAAACAATGTTTTAGTTAAAACTACCTCTCAATTAAAATTTCACTAATATGCTACATTTCAATAATAAGAAATTTTACAACAATCACAAATAAAAATAGCACTGTTATTACAAGAATAAAATTGAGTAAACCATATATTTAATAAAATAGCAGACAGCAACTTCATTAGAATTAAACTACTTTTGGAAGAAATAATAATTAAAAAGATACCACTTTTGTACAAAGACAAAATAAATACTAATAATGTCTTTCCGGGTCACATAAATTCAACACAATTTTTTGCAGAAATCATAATATTTTTCAGTGAATAATAAAGAAAAAGTAAGAATAAAACCACTTAAACTGATGCATCAAACAGAATATATTCTTTTACGTTCAAATAAATAATATATTTTTATTTAATTTTCGTTTTCTTCCATTCAGGCTTAACTTTTCAAATGAAAGAAAAATCTGCAACTTTTTTTTAGTGAAAACAAAATATATTGAATTATGTACAATGATACTTTGCATAGAACAGTTGTAATGTGAAGTCTATAAATATATATATTGGGGCTAGTCAACACAAGTATTAAAATAATGGAAATGGTAATGGAAAAACACAATTTATAACTTAGAATTCAAAAAGTTGCCTACTACAATAACAGCATTTGGTACATTTATATTAAGAAAGAAAAACTACGTTCTTATAACTTGACTAATGAAAAAATAATGGTAAAACAAATAATGGAACTGCTTAATTTTCGATTTTCCACACATGTAGTTCTATTCTAAACAATTCATAAAATATCATCATTAATTTTAAATTTCCTCTTCCCGCCTGATAATACTAGAGAGAGCTTTTATAATCAAATGCATGTGAAAACTAAACTTTACTAAGAAATGGATTTATGAAATACTCTGCTTTTAAAAAATTTATTTATGTTTTGCAAAAAAGTATACAAGCAAATATGATTTCTTTTCCAGTTTAAAACATATAAAAAGCAATTTTTTTTACATAAGAATTTTAAAAAATTCATATTAATCAGTCAAAAAGTTTAACTATGTAATGTGTATTACTGTCCCTCGGAGGAAAACGAAACAGGAAAAAAAAAAAAAAAACTTTGTTCTTTTCTTTTAAAAGTACAACTGGCACATAAGTCTTTTAGTGAGTGAGATTATTTTAAAAATATGGTAACACATAACTAAGAAATTAAGAAAAGAAGTCATTATTTAATGAACACCAGAAGGAGGATTAGGCCATTCTGGCTTATAAGGAGAGGCTCTATAATGGCTAGTGCTAATAGTTGGAGTTAACGTTGAAGGAGCAAAACTTAAACTTGTGCTTGAAGTAGTGCTAGGGTTTGGTTCAGGCATTGCTGGTTCCATCTTAATTGCATTTGCATTTGCAGAAGCATTATTAGGACCATTGTTATTCTGACTTGAAGTGCTGCCATGATGACCCATGCCCCTACTGTGACGAGCTGCACCTTGAGCCACTGAAAAAAAAAAAATCAGTTACACAAAATATGTAATTAATACAGAAATAAAACAATGCAGCAAACTTACAAAAATCTACTACAACACAAAATAAAGCACTTCACTCAATATTAAAATGTTGAAAGGAAGCTATATTTTAACAAATGCTGTAGATACTAATGAAATCTAAAAATTTAAGAATAATTTAATAAATAATAAATATATCAATCAATCTATTTTAACTAGTTAAGAACAAAAAACACTAAGGCAAGAGGATATCCTGTAGATATATTTTAGGAAGTGTACATATATACACATTCACAGGCCATATTACTCAAACAATTTTGTTTAAAATTAAAAGTGCTAAGTGAGGTTATTTTCAGCTGCACCATATTTGCTTACAAAAAAATACAGCTTCAAAAAAATGGAATATCATCCTTGTATCAAAGTTTAGATAAAGCTGGGAAACTTATTGAGTTTGCATGGTAAGAAGAACAAAATTTTCTTCCCTCCCCCCTCTCCCCCCCAAAAAAATCATAATGGAATTTTCAACCCATATGTTACCCAGAATCCTAAATAATAAATTCCCCCTCCTCCAAGAATAACTATGGAAAACTTAATTTTTATTTAAAGATTTTAATTTACATTTCACTAGACCCTGCCATGCCTATTTAGATAAGATTCTTGATTCCGTTGCTTACATTATTTTTGGAAAGAAAAGTCAATGAAGAATTACCAAAATTTCCAGTATTATCACATTATCCACCTAAACCCTAACAACAATCACCACGCAAATTTCTGTATCGCCAATTATGCTAGCAAATAATACCACCACCTATTTCGCTAATTTGTTGTCATTTTATGAAATTTTCAAACATACCGCCACATTTTAAAATGGCTACTGTTTTTCATACATTCATTTGGTAAAAATTAGTCACCAACTGTTAGCACTTTGTGAGAGGGTTGGACAGATAATGTGAGAGCACCAAATTTTTTTCTTCATACATTATCATGAATAGCATCATTTATGTTAATAAAAGAATGTATATATATAAATTTAAAAAATATTCTCTATTATATAACGCTAATTTAAATTTTAAACTATGAAAATTCCATTGTATACAAATATAAGATTAATTATTGCTGCAAATTAATTTGCAATATCATTTAAATTCAGAAAGCATATGCAAAGTGCAAGTATCTAAAAAAATGATAAAATATTTAATAATACAAAAGTTAATCCTAAAAATGTTTTAAAATTTTCTTTACTATTAGTTTCTTATAAAACAACTCTTATTATATATTTCTCTTTCTAAAGATAAAAAACAGGAGATATACAAGTAGCAGACTAAAATTTTTAACTTCAGTTCTAGTGTTATCTCAACAAAGATGTTAAAAATTAATATACTTTAGAATGTTATAACATGAAACTAAAAAGTGAATTTCATGTATTTGGTCATGAAATAAAATGCAAATTTATAAGAATTACTTTGTCATTAAATACACTTTAAATTATAATTATTAGTTTTAATTTACAATTATTCCCTAGGAAATAAGAGGTAACATTTATTGTAAAATGAAACTTACTAAAATTTAGTACTTCACAATACTGAAATAAAACTACGGGAAAGAAACTAAATGAAAATTTTAAATTGCAATCGCATTAATATTAAATGAATAATTAAATTAAAATTTAATAGTCTTAGCAGCAACAGTAGAGCAATTTTAACCTTTAAAGGTCTATTTGTGTTTTTTACTTATTTACTTTAATCATATATTAAACAAATAGTAAAATTATATATAAAACAAATACTTATTAATCAACAAATTATGTTTTTACATACAAAAAACAAGTAAATTGTAACAAACATTACTAATGTTGCCTATATACAACATTCAATACTTATGAGTTAACAAACAGCAAATTTTAAATTGATCAAATATGATACTCTTAATTTTAAATGTCATATTCAGTAATTTATACCATTCCTTTGTCCTAACCATTATCAGAGGTAATTGTGATCCGATTTCAAAAATTCTATTGAAATATCTATAAAAATATTGAAGTGAAAACAAGACATAATTTCAAACGCAACTTACATACACACACATTTTCAAGCAGTTTTATTACTGAAACAAAGAGTGTGTTTTTTATTTTATTAAATCTTAATTTATGTTCCTCAACATTCCTTCACGAAGTTACTAAAATAATTTCTACTTTTAGCTTGCTCTTTTGGGGCTGGTAGGGGGTTAAAATCCAGAATTGCTGAATTTATACTTTGCTTAACAACTGAAAGTTCAGTATGATCAGCAAAGAAAAACATTTGCTAACAATAGAGAGTTTAGAATGATCGGCAAATGAAAACCTTTTTGATGTACACAATTTCCTATTTCCTTCAGATATTATATTAGAACCAGAGGCATGTGAATAAAAAAGAGTGAGCGATGAGAAACTCGTAGATGGAAAATAACAGTTCATGAAATGTAAAGCCTTTTGTTAGGTTGTTCAATTATTCAATAAATTATCCTTAAAACTTTTATCAAGAGCAGTGAGAGAGAATTTTTGTTCGAAAAAATTTAACATGTATTTTAGTTTAAAGAGAATATGTAATATTTCACAGTATCTAGGTTCCAATGTTCCACGAAATTTTACATTCTGTCACAATATCACCCACATAATTAAATACACTTTCAACAGTAAGTAGTTCATGGAAGTATGTGAAAACATATTTATTCAGTTCTGCCAATAGTAAGTATTTCTGTTTTTTCATTAACTTTTAGTTTAGATATTTCAACTCAAAAGTTTTGCATCAGTTTTTCGTTTGCTTCTGTATAAGACAACTATTGGATAGTTTGATGTCTTGGTCTAACAGAAATGTTTTTATCTTAGGAAATGGCATTCGTGGGTATTCATTTTCAAAGTTAACTATATATGATTATTATTTTTAGTATGTTAATATCTGTTACAGATTTGTAAAGATTAAAATTTTAAATACCTGATATTTGTAAGAAAATAACATTAAATATGTATACAATAATTTTAGAAAATAATTTTGGTAAACAATAGGATTATTATAGCAAAATAATAATTTCCAATGCTTAAAAGATTATTTTTCTTGTTGTTAAAAAAAAATCAAACTTATTTAAATAACTTGCATTAAAAACATTGGTGATATACATACTGTATATAATAACTCAATAATACTTCATTTTAATTTATAAGGTATAATAATTTAAGATAATTAGTAAAGTTCATTAATTTAAGAAACTCCATATATAATAAAAATAGAATCTATCTGTTAATAATCACTCTGAAATGTCACATATGTTGTAAATAATCTAATATATTTTGCATGATCTTAAAAAAAAAAATAAATAAATAAACAAATAATCAAAAAAAAATCTCCAAATATAAGGCATCTTCAAAATATTTTTAAAGTTAACTAATCAAATAATAATTTAAAAAAATCCTCCAAATATACAGCATTTTTTTTTTTTTTTTTTTTTTTTTTTAAAGCCCTTTAAAGACAGAAAAGGCGAATACTCAGGAAGAATACTGAGACCATCAAATACTTCAAAACTAATGCCACAGAAATTTAAAATAAATTATAAAGAAAAAGAAGTCAAGAATAAATGTAACAAATAAAAAAAATTGCCATTTAGAGACATAACAGGACAAAAACTGCAATGTCGGTTACTTTCGCCACTTGATCCGAGATTGTAAAGAGAGTGTTTACATATTTTTAGAATGATTTCGGGGCTGTTTAATGTTTAAAATGTAATGATTATTTTTTTTATGTTCGGTGTGACAGTTTTTCTCGATTATATATCCGCATAGTAATTTTCATGATAGAAGGGCTTTCTGTAAAATTTTCAAAGGTATAGATCAGTTTTCTTCTTCCACTATTTTCCAGAGTCTACGTAAATTATGATAGGTCTGCATATAGAAAGAGCTCTTTTCAAGAGACCAAAAGCATGACTAAATGCCACAGTTGAACATCAGAAGAGTATGCAGGAACACATTTAAAAGACACATACACAATACTTGTATCCAGCCTTTACTTTTTCAAAGAATGCAATGGAATTTTTTTGAAGGTATGACTTTGTCTTGATCAAGTTTTGATCTCTGAAACTCAGTGGGATAAAGAAATAAAATTTCTTCTGTAAATATCAAACATAAATCTTTCTTGATAGTACATTGATTTTAACACTTTTTCCTACTCTTTCCTCCCACTGCCCTAATTATTTATTTACAAAGCTAAGTGCGAAATATTAAAAAACTGTACAATAATATTTTAGTAGTATTAATATGTGTGATTTTTAAAAACATACAAATAAAGAATTTTTAAAGTAGTAATTGGAATAGTCTCCAATACTTTAAAGAAATAAAGTTTACCTTTGGACTATCGATATATTTCCAAAACATGAATGATGTAATTTTTACCGAACTGCTTTTGAAATTGGTTTAGTTTATTATGATTATGGCAAAACCTTGGATGCTATCTACCAAAGGAAAGAGTCGATTTGGAATCAGAAACTTCACATATAGTCAGACTACAAAGGATAATTATACATTTTGCAAAGTTTTGTATCTGTAAAACAAGTACATATGTAAATAAAATATTTTTAAATGTTCGCATATGTACTTTCTAAATCAGATTCTACAAGGTCTGTAGAGATTCCAAGTAACTATCCAGCCTCGTGTCTTGATTTCGTTTAAAAAAGCAATCCCTAGTTATTTCGTAAGGTTTCGAGTTATTTTCTATGCGAGACCTTTTTTTATGCAACCCCTATTCATCGCATAAAAAACATACTTTTTAATTGTGTTGCGGAAACTATTTTTTATAGTTACTCGTGAAGTTTTGTGTGTTTTTATGCATTTTCTTTTATGCCGTCCCTATCCACTGCACAAAAACAGACTTGAGTGCTCTTTTTTTTTTTTTTTAATCATTTAATGTTACCGTTTGGTTAAAAGAAAACAGCCATGGTCTAAATAAAGTGATTCCATTAAATACTCACAGGCATACCTGGGTTGCCACAGAAATACCTTTTTCCAACATTGTGGGTTGCTACATAACTATTTTGGCAACATACTGCTTTGTTTCATGAACACCATTTCGCGATTTTTTTATGTAGGGTGCGGGTAATCAGAAAGTATTGACTATTATTATTTTAAGTAAGTTAAAATCTGATAGAGATTTGTAAAGATTAAAATTTTAAATACCTGATATTTGTAAGAAAACAACATTAAATATCTATATAAATACATTAATTTTTTTTAATTAATAATTAGTGATGATAACAAGAATCTACACTTGTCGACAGTTTTACATCGCAGAAGAAATGTTAAATCAAATATTTTAAGGACATGCCGAAAAATTAAGAATTTGTTTCTAATGAACAGTCTAATGATCAATAATACAAAGAACTAGTAAGACAACTGTGTATTCTGTTTCTTTAAACTAATACTTTAATCACTCTAAAAAGTTTATTAAAAAAACAGACAAAAATTAGCATCATTAACTCCATAGCAATTACATATAATATAATTCAATACGAATGTGTATCTAAAAGAACAGCAATAACTTCAAACAATATAAACCTTCAGTTTAAAAAGGTTACATTCTGATAACTCTTAAACAACATACTTTTTGAATTGAAATGGCCACCCCCACGTCTTCTAGGCTGCCCTGTCACTCTTTCCCCTAATGAAATACAAAAAAATTAACATAGCTCCATTAGATATTAAAAAAAAAAAAAAAAATTAATACTAACATGCGTGCAACATTCTAAACCATGTCAATGTATCTCAATCATGTCATATAACATGAGTTAAAATACTTTTAAAGTTATTTTTTTAATTCCTTTGAGCCAATATTTTAAAATAGAAAGAATTTTACAAATGATGCTTTCGGTCCTAATAGGCACATACATCCCAGAGATTAGATTTCATCACCTATTGGGTAAATAAAGACCACTTGTAAATGGGTTTTTTTCATTTGCAGTGTTAAGGAATTAAGGAACAAATATATGACTAAAGAAACCTGGCAACACTTTTAAATTGCAAATGGCGCACTTATGTTTTTGAGCACACTGATTACTTAAATTTCGTCTATTTTTTTTAATTTTACAGTAAATACAATTTTATATCAAGTCATGCTTAGTATGAAATAGTTCTTATTGTTCTTATTAAGTAGTAATTTAACTTTTTTAATGTCAGATTTAAGACATTTTGAATAAATTCTTTTTATAGGATATATTATCTCAATCGTATTGAACAGTGGGTTAATATGTTCCCATCAGTGATCAGATTACTACATATATTATGTTCATGAAACATACACGAAAATTTTTGTTCTATATGAACTGGTGCATGTAGCAGAGTTTACATTTTGTAATATTCACACTATATACGAGGGTTGGAACTTTAATAGTGGCAACTATTTATTTACAAGGAATACAAAAGTGATTCATGTCACCATGTTTTACAGTCCTTCAATATAGTGGCCAGCATTGTGTACAATCCGTTTCCAACGATGTGGAAGTCGCGGAAGACCTGTAGCAGTGCCTCTTTTGTTGATAGTTTGAATGGACCGGTCTACTGCCGCAAGAATCTCAGGAACAGTTTGGAAGCAAGTGCCACGAAGTGGTTCCTTCATCTTAGGAATTAAGTCATAGTCACAAGGGCTTAGATCTGGGGAGTATGGTGGATGGTAAAGCACTTCCCAGTCCCATCACTTAAACAAATCAGTCACCGCTTGCGCTGCATGCGGCCGAGCGTTGTCATGCAAAATGAGAGGAGCGTTCTGCAGAAAGTGTCGCCGTTTTTTTCTCAAAGCTGGTCGGAGATTGTGCTCCAAAAATGAGCAGTAATACTGCGCAGTGACGGTCTGCTGTGGGGGAACGGTATGCGTTAGGATGACACCATCACAGTCGTACACGAGAATCACCATAACTTTTACATTGCTGGGGTTCTGACGAAATTTCGAACGTCGTGGTGACCCATGATGACGCCATTCGTTTGAATGGCGTTTCAGTTCTCACTGGTACGATCGGGCCCAAGTCTCATCCAGCGTAAAAAAGCATCTCCTTCGCCCTCATAGCGCTCCAGGTGGGTTCGGGCAGCATTGTATCGTAGCCATTTCTGCATTTCCGTCAATTGATGTGGAACCCATCGAGAAGCATTTTTTCTCATGGACAGGCATTCCTTCAGAATGTGCAGCACAGTCGTATGCGCTAATCCTGTTTGTCCGGCCAGCTGACGAATCGTTTGGCGACGATCACTGTCCATTAGTGCGGGAACAGCTTGCACGTCTGCATCACTGACACTCGGACGACCTGGCCGCGGCATGTCTGCCACATTTTGGCGTCCTTCATTGAATGCTTTCACCCATCTTGCTACGGTTCTGTAAGGCAATGCTGATTCCCCGCAAGCCTCTTGAAGCCCTTGATGACACTGTCGTGCTGTACGACCTCTGGCACATTCAATTTTTATCCAACATCGTTGTTCTTGTTTTGAAAACATCCTGACAACACTTACTTTAGACTGCGAGCTAATACAAGGATCTGTTCTTCACGTCACTCCGCATGCGCGTGACGTAGGCAAGACGAGTCTTTTTGCCGAGAGGTAAGGTAGGTATGTAGTTTACGTGTGGTATACGCAATATTCTTTGGTTTTGTTGCGTAGCGTTTTTTTCAGCTGTGTTGCCACTATTAAAGTTCCAACCCTCATATTACCAGAAATTTTAGTTTTGTTTTCTGAGAAAGGGTAATATCCTAGACGATTGGAACAAATAGTCCCAGTTGGCAATGCGATTGGGACATACTGTTCCAGAAGATTTCCAGGAAATGGGAAAAGTTAAAACTTTAAACTCATATTGCACTTCTTTTAGTATATCAACATAAATTGAACTACTTTTCATAGTTTTTCAATTTTAATCATGCAAAAGTTGGGTCGAAAGGGTTAAAGAGCTTTATATCAGAACAAAGAAACTCGTTCTAATATCAGAAAGAAACTCGTTCTAACACTGAAGCAAAAGAATATTCAATAAAGTATGTCTCAAGTGACATGAACCTATATAGAAGAACCATCGGTGACATCCTGATGACAACAATTTTGATACTGTTCTTCCAGTTTACACATAATTCCTGTATTAAATTCAAGAATGTCAACACGACAGCATAAAGAAATCCCAGTTGTTTGCTTTCTTTCAAATTCCAATCATATAAGCTCAATCTAATAATTCCCAATATAAAGGTTGCTATTTATATTTCTGGCTTTAGCAACAGTAAATGTTGCTACGCAACTGCCAACAATTCCAATCGAAAGTTTGATATTTTTTAACCATAACTTCTTCAGAATGTTTTGCCATTTTGGTGTAATTTGTGTTGTTTACAGCAAACTGAAAAACGAAAAAATGGAATTGACTAAAGAACATTTTTGTGAGTCCCCCCCCCATTTGACAGGGATTATCAAGACAAAGAGTGTTTTGATGAACTTAATTCTTTATACAGTAATAAAACACCATCCAACAGCACTATAAAAAAACTGGTACAACAAATTGAATTGGGGGTCGACGTTAGACGAATTCCATGATGTCGTCAAAAATCGATTGTGGCAGAAAATATCGATACTGTGTGTGAGCTGATAAAACAAGATTGTCATGTTACATACCATGAGATTGAGGCACCTTTGGGTATGACAAGCATCAATAAGATATTACATAAAAACATTTGGCCATAAAAAAGATTTGCTCCCACATGATCTGAGAAACACTCAAAAGAAAGCTTATGTCGATTGGTGCAAGGAAATGTTGGAAAAATACATTCAAGGTGCATCAAAGGCTGTGCGTAACCTCTACACAAATGACAAATCATGGATCTATCCATATGAGCCTGAAACAAAACAGCAGTGGACTATACGGGTTGTCCAAGATGAGCAAAATCCAACGAAAGTTATTCATGAAAAAAACACATCAAAGCAAATGACTGCCTGTTTCTTCGGCATTACCCGTCACGTAGCAACAGTGGCATTAGAGCAATGCAAGTCGATCAATTCTGAATCGTACACAACCATTTGTTTGCCAGATGTCACCGGAGAAATTAGAAAAAAGCAGAAGAGGCGAATCCTTCTTCGTCAAGACAATAGGAGCTCTCGCCCATCGGCTCAAACAAAGGAATTATTGGGACACCTGCCGTATAACCTTGATTTGACAAGAAATGACTAACCCGCCCCCTGGCATATCAAAAATAAATTATGTGGTTCACGATTTGCCGCATCCAAAGAAGCAGTTGATGCACTCAAAACGCATGTTTTGGAGTTATCTCAATAGGAGCGGAAAAAGTGCTTTGAAAATTGGTTCAAATGCACGCAAATATGTATTGATCTTCATGGAGAATATTTTGAAAAGCTATAAGACCAATTTACATCATAAACATTTGTTTTAGCATTATTAGACTAGAAATATAAATAGCAATTCTTGTACTCTATGTGGCAGCTATTAGTAAAGAAGTATGAACCTTTCAGTCAGGAATGTCTGATGAAATTTCATTAAAAGTAGAAGAATTTTAAAAACATTAATGCAGAAAACTACCATTATCTAAAATCTACTTGTCTGCATAGTTTGTCCTTATTTTGAAGGCATTTAAACATTTCGTTTGCTGTTAATTTATTCATATGTTTTCAATATTTGCCAATTTAAATAGTATAGAGAGGTAAAACAGAAACTACACATTTTGAGAACTATTAAATTAATTTTAACAACAGCTGCCACAAGAACAAGCCAAAACAAGTGCAACTACTTAAACTGTTGAAATAAAAATTGCTTATGTGCTTTTTTTTTTTTTTTTTTTTTTTGTTGGAAAAACACGTTTAAAGAGATTAAAAACTATTCCATATTCAATTTTGTTTAATACAATTGAGATTATCAATTTTGGAAGAAAAAACAAGCGTGCTAAACATATTGTTGTGTGCGTACGGGTTCGTTTGAATTGAATGCACAAGTCAATGAAAAATGGACAAAATTTATTACTATCACAACAAAACATTTCCTCAGATATTCTTTCAGTATTACAATATCTCACAGTAGTTATATTTTCATTACTCAAACGTTCAAGAGAACTTAATTCAAAACAGCTAAAGAAAGCTAATCCACGAATTCACTACAATCAACAAGAGCAGTTTTCTAAACAAACTTTTAAAACAACAACAAACCAACTAACTAACTGACTAACTGAATTGAGAGATTTTTCTCCTTTTTATAAGATTTTTAAATCGTGCGTGAGATCTTTCTGGAACTTTCTCGAAAGAGATACTTATTAAATGTTAAATGCACATGCTCTTGTATTTTTAATTTTCCGGCTTAGCTTTCCTTTAATATTCATCACGCGCTGCACTGTGCAGGAAATAAAACCATTTAATTTACAATTCAACTAACATAAGCTATTTAAATACTAAAACCGCAACACTGCTCCCTTCCCAAGGACTGCACATCCCGGGCAGTACAATCCCTAGACAGAAAGCCAAACTTACAACTGTGGCATAAATGCAATAATAAGCATTACATTACAATAATAAACAACATGAACAATAAATGCAATAAATAAAACAAATCAAATGCAAATCAAATACAAAATACACATTTAGAAACAAAAAGGACCATGGTCTTACACTGTTTACAATTATTTACATTATGGCCATAGTAAT